GAGCTTTAACAATTTCCCTCCATGATTAAAGAAATGAAATAAGGAATTCTAACCATAGAAAACACAATTCTGGGCACACAACAGCTGCCAATATTGGCCCTAAGGACAGATTTTTCTACTAAAAGTCTCGAATACTTCAAACATTATATCTGGAACCTCTTCATCCATTTACGAATCAGTAGTGTAATGAAAATAATGTGAAAAAAAATAATGATGCGTAAGTGATATAACAAGATTCTAACACTAAGGGATGCTCACCCTAACCTGGACGTTTTTCTACAAGGCAACCTGAAATGAAATGTGCGGCATAAGCTTACAAAGTTAACCCTTCCACTTCAATTTGCATGATGATAATACTTTTTACTTTTAATAACACAATATCACATAAGTTTTTATTAGAATACCGTACGGATCAACTATTTACAAAGAAATATAAATTGAATAATATGTAATAAATATGTAACGATTGAAATTTAATTACAAAAACAAGCACAATATACCATTTCACTGGAACCCATTTTTTGTGATGTATAGAAGTTTTAAAGGAATTACATTTGCACTATTAATTCTAGCACTTCTGCCCGTTTTGACCTAGAGCGGAATTATTATTATTAATTATTAGTTTTTTATTGATGTTGAAAAGCGCCGGGGAAAAAATGCGCTCGTTGAGTTCTACGTAGGCGACAGAAAGCACGCGACTGCTACAGCCTGGCGACATCCGCCGTGCTGCGCGGAAAAGTGATCAGTTTCATTAGCCACTGGCGCCATCCTGTTACCGAAAGCATCTAGTTTGTTATTATGCAATTGAAACGGCCTTCGGATATTGGATGGTGTTCTGTGCAAGAGATACTGAAGTGAGTCAAGATAGCATTACGATACTTAGATATAGAGGTCAATGCAGAATCAGGTATGGAGAGAGCACGAACTCTGACGGAGGATCTAGAAAAATTACCAATGAAACTGGGAGACTTTTGAAAACAATTGATTTTTTAAGGACAAATAAAAACATTGAAATTTTCAGTCGGTGCTGTTAATGTATTTTGCTGTATCTCCATATTAATAAAATCATGGAAAAGTGAAATAAAAAATCAGAGTCCCCAGAAGTTCACTATAACCGGGGTCGGCTGTATTATGGAAATTTATTAATTAATTTTCATTCTACATTACATTTTGTTTGTTGTTCCTATCATTAAATACCTGAATTTACTAAATCTGCGTTAGTATTATGCTTGCAAGAGTAAATTACTGGTTTCCACCGAGAATGTTCATAAACATCACATCGTACACAGTCGCAGAAATGTGGTTTCAGCGACATGTTTTGTTGAAGGCGACATATTTGTATTTCTCTTCCTCTGCTTGGTAGTCAACATCAGATGCTTAAAACTAGTCAAAATATTTTGTTATTGATTTCATTTTTTTAATTCATCGAATACGCTATATCGTGATAAGCACAGTTGACGGGCAAAACATAACACCATTTTTTTTGTTTTTTACGATAGTAAAATGGTATTAACATGCCAGTCATCACAAAGTGCGTTCTCTATTGTAATTAATGCTTCGTAATATGTGTAACGCAAGCATCCTAATATTTTATTCAATGCGACCTATTTTTTTTGAAAAGAATCTATAAAGTTTCCATTATATGTCTCAACTCTTTACTAAGATTTGAAGGAAATTATTTTTTTCTTTCTTCTGGCCGCCTTTCCATCTAATGGACCTCATCGAAGTTGTTCACATAACACGTGGAAGAACGCAGTTTAACAACGTTGCTTCAATTGACAGCGGTGCGAACGCGTCGACGTCGCGTCGTCGGCAACTTCAAACCCCGGGCGCACTGCCAACCTCGGGCGTTCGGCGGAGGCGGCAGCGAGCAGTGACCCGGGCGCCGCCCCCGCCCACGCCGCCGCCAGCGCCTACCGCGCACCGCCACTGCCCGCAGCAAACCGCGCCCTCCGCGCGCGCGCGCGTGCGTCTGCGCCGATCACTCAACGCCGACAACGCACGCGCTTTCTAAGGGAACCCGCGCGCCCACCCGTGCGCCGCGCGCGCCGCGCCCGCCGCACAGCCCGTGGCCTATGCCGCTCGCGATAGCGGAATCTCTGGAGACGTTTGCTCAGCGAAGCGGCGTAGGACGACGCGGAACGCGGTGCCAGGTCGTGGCCCCACGCGCCATCCGTCAAGCGTTTCCGCGTGCTATCTGGACACCTGCTGCCTTCAATTCGATTGGAGCCTGCCGCACGTTCGCAGAACCTTACGCAAGTACAATAGTTGTTAAAGATACATTAATCATCTACTCTTGACAACCAAAACAAACACTAGAAGAAAAAAGAAAATATACATTTTTGTCGGGGAAAGTAAAAGATTCAATAAATTACTTTGAATATCACGTTCATCTAGTGTGCGCTGAGTTCGTTCTTTCATAAATATCTAGTTATGGGCAATCGCATAATGACGAAAACTAGTAACACTATTCCTCAAAGCGGTTACGGGCGGTTCATAAATTACATACCGCAAATTTGAAGTATTTTATATACTCCTCTCCCCCGGTGAGGCTCTTGTAAAGCTCGCCAGAACCTCCCTAGAAATACGTAACACTTACGACAATCCCCTTGTAGACACATTACAATAAGTACATATGAAGAACATAGCAGTAAAACAATTTTTATTAATTTTATTTGTGTTACGTATTAAAATTTATGATAATTAAAGTCGGAATTAGTTGACGATTCAAACTGAATCTAACAATAAGATTTGTAAGATAAGATCTGAGACAATTTGTAAGTGGAGTAAGCACGCATAGGCAAGAGACAACTGACAAGCCATGCACATGGCATCATCGTGGATGCACATTGGACGAGAGTCTGAGCAGCATTGCCATTGAGCAGCACAGCGCCATTGGTTTCTAGATTGGAGATCATTGTGAATATTTTCTTCGTAATCTACCTAGTTAGATCAATATACCATTGACAAAAATTACTTATATTTATTGTAAAAAATTATACGTAATAACTTTTATATATATTATGTATTTTAACATTTAATTTATTAATATTTTAGTTTAAGATTGAATAAAATAAATTATTTCAGAAATGTTGAAATATATATCAGCGTTACGTAACACTAAACCATGACCCACTATGTAACGGAATGTAACGCTACCTCAAACGCCCTCCCTCTCTTTGGCGTTACGTAATTTATGGAAGATAGCTTTGGTAAAAATGTAAATGATCCAGAGAAATTAAAAAAAACATGCATAACATATATAAACGAATCAGTACAAACTAAGCTGCTGGAAATATATTCAAGATAATTTGCAAAAAAAATATAAGCTTGTTTTCGTCAGTTTAAACGGCAGTTAAGTCAGTTTAAAAGACACACGGCAAGGTCACTCACGAATATTATCTTGAATATATCTCGCCAGGGCTCCGGATGGAGTTTGAATAGGAACTCGAATGCACTTCTTGCGCACGATCGGCCTCTTGGTTCGCAGACTCGACTGTACCGCTCCCCCGCTGAGCCGATCGCCGCCGGCCGCCGCCACCGTCCTCGCGAGGTGAAAGGCCCTGCTGCGACGTCGCCCCCGCGGACTGCGCTGTTTGATAATCGCGATCTGCCCCCGGTTGCACTCCGCGCCCTGTCAACGCTTTCGCTGCGCGTTTACGTCCTACTGTCTCTCAGTGCCAAATGCTGCGTTGGTTTGGCGCAAGCGGCACGGGAAACGTAACCTTCGGGCATTGTGCGACATATTGTTTGGTAACATAACGCTTATTAAAAAGAAAATTTTAAGAACAGAAGGAAATCGTACACAAACCTTGAAATTAAACTTGCTCATTTCTAACATCTCGCTTTTTCGTAAACAACGCAATTCTCCTCTTAGATTAGGGCTGATCTTGCATGGTCTATCTAGTCACTTACATTAGGCTGATAGTAATAGACCCAAAGTGGTTTCATAATCACCGAGCCATTTCAATTGTATTAATGCTAAAATATTATCATCTTTCTTAATTTATGAATTATATCTAGCAAAACGCATAAAAAAGGCACAACAACATTTTTATACCATGAATGTAATAATATTAAAATGTTTCACACGTAAACGTAACCTGAGAAGTCACCACCGCAACGCCGTAAGAACATTTTACGGACTTGAGGTAACGAGAATTACGCCGGTGACGACTGTGGTAACTGTCGTGACGCACTCCATCACTCCCTTGGGCAACAGTCGCTGAAGCAACACGATCGACTTCGTCGCTTCCGGGAGTCGTGACCGGTGGTAAATCGCTTCACATCATATGCACAAAGAGAAACGCCCCAATACGAGACAATGACCAGCTTTCGATACATGAAATACTTCATGCCCAAGTATTAAGACACCTTTGACAGCTATAAAAGCAGCTTTCATTCTTGTAGAGATGGTGAGACGCCTTTTCAATAAGCATTGAATAAAAAACTGTTCAGTAGTACATTTATTGTGAGAGAAAAAGAAGAAAACAAAAAAAAGAAAGACAGAAAGAAAAAAGAAAGATAATAAAATGTAATAAATAAATAAAAAGGTATCTACCTCAACAACAATCCAATTAATAAAATGTAAAACAACTCAGAACATTATGAGTCCAAAATTCGCGCGATGAAAATTTATTTTTTCTATATTTCATCGATAATTCGGTGTCAAGATACACGGAATGTCTCATATTCATCCTTGTTATCGATCCTGATATCAAGCTGTCGTGATCAGCTGTTGAGGTATTAATAATATAAGAATGACATAACACTAGTAGATGCTCTTTTTACATGAATATAAGGTTGAGAAAACTTCAACTCAAATCCTCCTAAATTTACAGTTAAAATCTGACAAATCATAATAATTCAACCATACATATTCAAAACAGTAATTTGTTTTTATTTCCTACCTCATAAATCCAGTACCATTCATTTTATCGTGAATGGGGAAACACGTCATGGAAACGCATTTTAAATATTTGCCAATCTACAAAACTCACCGTAAGAAAGCATATCCTGCAATTTGCCGATATACGAGCCCAAATCACCCACGGGACACACTTTGGTGGCGAAGGAGTCGTCATTCTCTTCAGCCACAAAACACAGAAATACCTTGACCGTGGCCGCCATGGTGGCGGCCGTGAGGCGAATTGACGGAAGACAAGCAAATTTCTCGAGTGCCTTTCGCAAGGCACCGCACGCACGGAGAAAGACGGACAGCCACACAAAGAGCACGAAGGCGAGGGGATCACGACACACAAAGAGTCGATTAGGCGGCTTATCTGCGCGGTAATCGACTGAAGGTGTCCTAAGGCGCGCCGGGTTCCAGATATCGGAATCTTGCGATAGCTCCATTGAACGACCTTAAAACACAGCTGGGGATCGCGCGCTTTCATTCGTTTCCAAGATATACATCGGAGCTACTTCCACGGTCAGGATTCGACTCGCGCGAGGAATCTGTGTTCACGGCTGACGTCACAGAGAAGGGAGACGGGTACTCTGAATGCCTTCTCAAAAACATACACTTCCTCGCTTTCCGACAGGGAGTCTCGACATAAAACGTTACATTCACATTTCTTGTAAGAAAACAAATGTAATACTTTACTAACGCATCCAAAACAATTTTCTGGGCGAGGAAAATCCCTAGCTCGCATTAGGCGAACCAATGTTTTCCTAACAGTGATATTACACGTGGACTGATCTATTGCGCATGCGCAGTGTATCCTTTCTTAGATGACTCACCCGCGCATTAACGGTCGTCGAGTTCACAGGTGTCTCGCGCAAACTCTTATTTACGCTAAGCTGGCTGTACGCACATTGTTTGATCATTGGAAGAAATATAAAGAGATAATCAACAGTAAGTATCTGTTGATTTATTCGCCTATTATGTTGTCCAAAATTGAATTTTTGAATCTAAATATATATTTGGATATCTTTTAGTGTAAAGAAAATAGCCCATGCGGATTTATCACTTACTTTATAACGTCTGTTGTGATTTCTTAAAGTAACGTTTTCCATTTCCAATGTTTACCACCATTAATCCATCGAACAGACATCGAATATGAGCAACTGAACGAGAAACGAGTGACGGATATCTCACAAAATAAAAGAATGTCACACAATTCTTCATGTACACGTGGAAGTTCAAACAGATGGTTGTTCCTGTAACTACATTGCGAAACTGCATACTCTACTTTTTAGGGTACCGTAAAGAAAAGATTTATAGCATTCTACGAAGTAGGCAGCTACGTAATATGAAAATAACATCGCATTTATGGAAAAAATACTACGTAATTTCCTCTCATTAATCTCGCTTGTCTTCTTTCCAGTTTATATAGTCTGTCGCTTTACCTTACGAGCCAAAACCGAGATTAACCGTCCTCTAACGAGGGAAAATCTGGCTTGAAATGAAGCAATTTGCTACCAATTACAGTTCTCACCGGGGCATAAACACACGCATTAACGCAGGAACCACGTCGACGCGTTAATCTTGAGCGATAACTCACAAACTTCTCCAGAAGGAGGAGCGGGGTCACGGCGGCCTTGATGCTTCGGAATATAGCGCGCTTCTTATGAATAAACACGACCGCGAAATGCTGGTGCTGAACGGAGTTTAAAGGAGACATTCAGGGATAATCGCTTGTATAAATTTTATGCCACCTTACGGGAAAAAGACGCATGCCTGATGACGTCAATATCATTCATTGACTTCCATTCAGTAAGGTACGTCGCACGCAATGTTTCTTTGAAATTCCCTCATTCACTCGGAACCTATAAAATCAGATACCAGAAATTCCTGTAAATAAAAGCTGTTAGTTGAATATAAATCAGGAATGCCAAATCCGAATGCTCTCATAGAATAAGAATAAGCGATCAGCTCTCTGGAAATTGTCACTTTTTGAAAACAAATTATTCGAAATTGAAGGAACCATTGTTTCAAGAAAGCAATGGTATGAGTGTGCACAACTGCATAATGGAGCAGAAAGATTGACATGTCAACCACAATAAAAATGCGAATGTAGTTTTAATTCTAACCTTTCTTTACTATACTCTGCAGTTCTTTCCTCTTATCGCTCGTACAAGGAGAAGATAAACATGTGTCTTATAACCAAGTTCAGTGCAGAGTAGTCCATGACGATAAATATTGTTTTTTGCGAAAAACTTGACAGCTATGAACAATGGTGCTAAGCTTTATATTGATGCAATTTCTTCACTTAAATTTTTGATGTGTGTATTTGCGAGTGTTTTCCCTATGAACACAAAATAGTATATTTTATACGTTAATTAGATTCAGTTTCTTACAGAATCTACAAAAAAGGCATAAATGGAGAATATTCTGGGTTCGTCTAGATTTTGTTTCTTCTCAAGGTAACGTGTTTTCTGTCGGTGTTATCGCATTTTACGCGAGTCTTAAAAGGAAACTTCTTTCCAGATGCCCAGAACTGAAGCCAGTTTTCAGGTAAGCTTAACATGCGTGTTTTCTTGGAAGTCTCGTAATCCCAAATGGAGCTGTATTTTACATTTTAGAACCATACTATATATCTTTTGAACCAGTTCCATAAAAGCGAAAGAACGTGAGAACTCTTACAAACTGAACATTGTCTTTCAACCATGTTAAAAATGGGATAGGTGGAAACAATGATATTTCCATAGTAATCAAAATACACTTATAAAAATACATCTTCAGTTTTTAATTTATTTAAGGTCGCATCAACTTTACTAGGTCAGTAGCGACCACTATTGGTTGTAACGGTATAGTAACTGTGAGGATGACACGATATGATGATAGGGGGTGAAAGGACAAACAAAATACAACCAGAGAGCATATTTTTAAAAGCAAAACACTTTCGTCATAAAGAAAGATTAAAGATATCACAAAACAAAAACAGACATTTTTCTATTTATTACCATATTCGCCTTTTAGCACACCCGGCTTTTTTTAATTATTCCCTTTTAAATAAAAAAAAACATTCTGCTGACGTATTATAATACCTGTACGGGTGATTTTCAATACTTCCGATACTGAATCATACTGGTCAGCGAATGCTGCTGGATCGCTTTTAATTATTGTAAATCGTTATGTCTGAGCCGCGATGTTAAATTGAATTGCCCCGCCAAAAACAGTAGAGAAGATGCTGAAAGAGAAAAGCTATCGCACCCAGGAGAAGGGTGACGGCTGGCTGCGCTGCACACAGGTCCGAAATGGTATAAAAGGAGAGCACATAAAAAACGATCACAAACACATTACATCAATGTGCGAAACATTGGAATGATGGATGGTTGCCCGTGAGGTACAGCTGTTAATTACATTAGGTTACATTATTATGTAACTTTTTAACTGTAATCGTTTGAGTTTCTTGAGACAGCGATGCCAATCTACACTACTACAGTACATCACCACAACAAGAAAATGTTCTTTATAAGAAATTTGAACTATGTTTTTCTTGCTAGAAAATTAAATAAGCCTTTCATAAGTATTCAACTGTTACCCGGATATCTGTTACCACGAGATAGACGTTAGAATGAATGAACGTGGAAAATTCGATTGAATAATTGATTATTTTATGTTTGCGGGCGTCTCAACTCATACGGTAATCAGTCCCGTTCCTGTTCTGTACCTATATTCAGGGATATGGCGGTGTTCCTTCTGCGCTGGGTTGTGAGGTCTGGCTCCACCCTACACGTCGGCTTTCGGGTTTTCACCCTCCACATATCTACGCCATCAGAACACCGCCCATGTGGGGAAAATCTCTAAGCTCCCATCTGATCTTCCGACATGCTGTATAGTGCATGTTATTTTTGTGTTCGTGTAAAGAGAAAGGAAGGTGCAAATATAAGGAGGAAAGATCGCGGGCGGTGCATGGCCCATTTCTTAGGGTACTGCTCCGGCATTCACCTGATATCGTTCGAAGAAACCGCGGAAAATTACCGGACAGGGCAAACGACCCCTAGAATTGTCCGCCAGACAACATCTAAATTCGACCGAGGTAGGTAGCTAATATGAAAAATCCGCCACCTTCGAGACTCGAACCCCGCGACCTCCAGGTCAGAGTCACTGCAGTGGCAACAGTTGTTACCCAGAGCTACCTCAGCCAGTCGGAAAATTCGAAATAATTCAATGCAAAAGGGCGATCCAGTGTTCTATTACCACGTCGGATACGTTCCACCTTGTGGAAGGCGTCATAGGTCGAAGTGCTCACTTCGGAGCGCCTGCAAATGCCTTGCGCGGAGGCTCGACCCACTGTGCGGCGCCTCGAGCGCCCCCGAGAGAAGCGACGGGGCTCGACGCCGCCGCCGCCGTCGGGTAACGGAGGACGCGCGTCGCCTGCGAATGGCGCCCACGAGGCGAAGGGACGTGCGGGCCGGCGGCGCAGCGTCGCGACGCGACGCGTCGGTCGCCGGGGCTCTTGCCGGCTGCCCCCGGCAGATAACGCTCCCAACCGGAACAAAATGCGCTCTTTCTCACTTATTGTTTTTTCAGCGTCCTGGAGAACACACATCCAATATTTTGAAATGCGAAGTATGTAGATGTGTCACATTTTTTTAATTCTTTCAACAATTATCACTTTTTTAAAAAAGTAATAAAATCCATATGCTGATCTCTGTACCTCAGGTGGAACACGTGGAAGGGTAGTAGCAAATCCGTACAAAGGGTTGGTGTCGCCCTTTTGAGGGGAAGAGTGTATATGAGAGTGCGTGTGCTTGATTATGTGAGTGAGTAATCGAATTTCGATTTCAAGACCTCCAGTCTGAGAACGGTTGTGTCAGCCGCTCTACGATCAGATAAGCTCAATCAGTCAGCAGCGCGCTCTCGACCTACGCGCTTGAGTATATTTAAGAACCAGTTACATTATTTCCACATTCACACTTATAGTGAAATGTGCTCGAGAAAATATACTAAAATGTTTCCCATTGAGTATTCTCAAAATGGGGAATTGCCGAGAGGTGCGATGGAAGTATTTTGCAGCCGAGAAATGCCAGCCCCACAGAAGTCATTTTAACAGGTTCCAAGTCAACTCAAAAGCACACAACCTCAACAAATACAGGAGGGAAATTTTCAACAACAATGTCCACGAGGAACTTTGCCATCATCACAGTATCTCCGCCTTCAATGAATTGCCCCGATTTAATGTAAATCAGCCAGCTTCCCAATAAAAGTGCAACTGCAGGTACAATACGCGAAAGCGAATTTCCAGAGCTCTCAGAGAACAGTTCAGTACCTAACAACAGGCAAACTAGAGGTATAAAAAAGTGATGGAGAACATGTGGACCAACAAGTTATAAGTATGCAGAACTCAGCTACTTAGATGATAATGTGGATTTAAATGACATAGACACGAAGAATGCAATAGAGA